AAATAAATAAACGTTTCAATATTAATTTCTTATATATAAATATAATTAAACAAAAACTCATATGCAGTATATATAACTGAGCAAAAATTGAAAGTAAACTTAGAGTACATAAAAAATAAGTTATAAGTCAATTGTACATATTATTCACTTATAATAAAAAAAAACTTAAGAAATATTATATATTAAATACACACACACACACCCACACACACAGACAGACACACACACACACACACACATCACCCAAAATTACTCGATTTGGAACAAACCTGAAACGGCGTGAAACTTGTCGTAATCATCCGGACATTTTCAATTATTTTAGGATAGGTTTACTCAATTTTCGTTTATTTTAATTTCAATTCAGTAATGACTTATTAATCGGATCATTAACATGCTTCGCACATCATCATACATGAAAACAAAATCTATATTAGTCATGCTTATATGTTTACGTCAGGGATAAGAATTTACCATTTGTCCTCACAAGGCAGAAAGGCAGCTTTTGAGGTCATTTGGTAAGAATATTAAGATACTGCCCTTAATCAAATAAGATGATAACAACATTACAATTCACTTTTAAATTATAGTACCATTGGTATCCTGTAAGAGATCATTAACGGACAAGGTCCATATTTGTTAACTTAGCTCCCGTAAAGTGACACATTTATGTGGATATTATAAGTTCCAATATATTTGTTTTTGTTTTCCCCCAATCTATTTTGCAACGTGGCAGAATTAGTTATTGTTAAGAGAGAATGGCCTTACCATTAAATGTATATTATCTTAATTTCCAGAATTACATTTCGAGCAAAAAAAAATGACCGAAAGAAATTCTGAATTGTTCCCCGAAGAGGAATTAAGTGCTTTAAAGCCAGCACATACATCTATATAAATTCACAAATAAGGAAACTTGATTGAAGGTACATTTATTGGAAGACACAACTCACATTTGTGTAATATACCTTGAATCTTTCAACTAAATCTGTTTACGTCTCAATTGCTGTAGAAAATAAAGAGTCCATGACCATAATTTTTGTTATTACCAATATAATTATTCAATATTTGTCTGGATACAAATACAATTGTGACGTGTTATTATATCTACAAATGCAGAGGGAATAATACATATCGAATATACTATATGATATAATGTTTACAAACTGTACAGATACGTGTATGATGAGGAAAAATATATTTTAGAATTACAGGTTAATCAAATATCAAGCAATCACGAAATGACTGTTTAAAGCAGAGAGGTATGACAGAGGTATGAGGAGGCGAGTTGGCTCAGTCGGTAAAGCGTCTGCCTGTCGAACCAAAGATCCCGGGTTCGACTCCCACCCAGGCGGATGACTGAAGCCTGCGTTGTGTGTTAACGTGCCCCTTCCCTTGTTCATAGATGCAGGTTATGTCAAGTGGAAAACACTCCGTCCCTCGGATAGGACGTTAAATGGAGGCCCCGTGTACAGGAGAGTCACAACCCTTGCACGTTAAGAACCCATTGCACTATTCGTATAAGAGTAGGGGGAAACCCCGGTGTAATGGTCCACCTGCATACCCCAAGCAGGCCGAGTATAATACGGCATCTGCAAGAATCTTCAGTATTGAAGGAGGCAAATTATCTCGAAGAAGAAGAAGAAGAGACTGTAACGTGTAAAATCTTTGTGTTTATGTCCCAACATCTTTCTCTCTCTCTCTCTCTCTCTCTCTGTGTCTCCCTCTCTACCCGCCCCCTCTCTCTCTATCTCTCTCCCCCCTCTCTCTCCCCCTCTCTCTCTATCCATGGTCCCCGATTTTAATGTAAGGAAGACAACCTACGGTATTCGATATAGACATACATGTATACGTACATATACACACATAATAGGGACCTTTAGATTCTGCACGACGAGAACGTGGACTGCCCTTTTAAGGCAATGTGATGTCACTGCCAGTGCCTTAAAGGACGTCACATTGCCTTTAAAGGGCAGTCCACGTTCTCGTGGTGCAGAATCTAAATTAAACATACATACACTACCGTCATGTGCTATACGTCATATGCGTCATTGTCCTTAAATTCTTTGTCCTGTGGCAGCGTTATTTACAAACGACTACCGGTAACTAGCGCTAATCTTTAGGTATGGTAGGGCTACAATCTAAATTTTCCCGATCAAGAATAATGGTACACGGCGAGTTGAAAGTGTATTTAAAATTTTCTGTAGAATCTGATTTGATGTGATATTTTCCCTTTTTGGGTGGTGCTGAACATGAATCCACGTGTTGCAATTTTTTCTATGACAAATTAAAATCAATAAAACAAATTTCTATACCATGCACAAAAAAGCAAATAATTGTTTAATAATTCCTTGGACTTGAGATCTATCGAACACTATATAATTTCAATAGGATTTTGTATAAATACCCAAATGATTAGAACAAAGGAACAACTTTTTAAAATCTATTTAATGAATGAAAATTTATTTGTATTATACAAGTATCAAGTACATGAAATTGCACAAATGAAAAGAAGTCTAAAACCTTTCTTTGATCTGTTTCTTAAAATCATTTTTTTCATTAATTTGTTTTTCTTCCACATGCATATAAACATCAGATATTTCTAAATATTTCATCTCACACATATATGAGAAAGAAAAAAAAATAATGTTTTTCAGTTGATGTGAAATATGATTATTTCAGAGGACTTATGTTAGAAGAGATATCATAATGGAATCACTCATTATTTGCATTACATTAAGATATTACAACAAACTGTACGATAATCATGATTTAAGATAATGATAAAATCAATAATGCTACCCCAAAATTCTAACATGACAAGCATTTATCCCTCTTCTTCAAATAATTATCTATATTGTTTCTTAGAGAGCTATAGTCAAAGAATGGACAATATGAGATATAAATCATGACGCGTTTTCACAAAAAATGATCCCAGTGAAGGAATATAAGAAAAGAAAAGTGAATATGCGTTAAAAACGTGGACAGCAACAAATAAAAGAGCAATTAACAAATACGAAATTAAATCATATTTCAATAGATAGATTTTGCGTTGTATACCAATATGGAAAGATTTATTTAGCAATAATGAGTAACAACTTATTTGGGAATAAAACCCAACAAAACATGCTTCGTTTTCAAATGTTACACAGTTCAAATGTTACATCAATCTTGCCTACAATAACGAAAAATTAGAAGTATTTCTACTGATGAACTGGAGCATATAAGATGTACATAACTTGGCAATCTTAGAAATACTAACCTAATTTCCTATAAACATAATAATAATAACAATTATGATTATAATACAAAAACGATTAAGGTGAAAACAGCAATAATAATAATATATCTGTAAAGCGCTTAGACACATCGTCGGATCGATGTATTAAGCGCTTTATAAACACGGAATATTATTATTATTATTATTAATAACTCAGCTTTTTACTAGTAACTAATTACTTGCATTTAAACGCGAACTACAAAATAATTTTCACACATGATATGATAAATGACATAAGGAAATCCACTGCAGTAACAACAAAATGAATGGCACGTAGGGATTAGAAGAAAAAAAAGTGTGCCAAAGAAAGGCTGTGACGCATACTTTGTAATTTGAGTGGATGGTCTAGAGATTTGTGACTAAAGTTGTCAAATTTTGTTGCTGTTAGTATGTTTTAGGCTGTTGAACAAGGCTTAAAGTCCCAGTGCACTACTTGTAGCTACTTGCTCCCTCTACATAGAAATATTCCCCAATCGGTTCATGTTGGACCCCCATGATCCTCTTTTTCTTTCATGTTAATTTAGAGCTAATTATGAGATAGCCACCTGTCACAGTGACCTCGCTGGCTCGCTGGGTGGTCTAGTCCTTTCTGGCTGTACTACTACAGCCGGCCTTCAAGCCAAGCTGACAAGTGAATTTATCCATATATTTTTTTCTCTTTTTGAAAATTTCTTTCTTTCCATTTCTAAATTTGTACTACAATTTAAAAGATAAAAGTAAACTTCTACTACTGCATTGTCAAATGTAAAATAAGGCAAGGTTTGTGGATATATGGAATATTAAAATTCATGATATTATTATCAGCCAAAAGTCACAGCATTCTCATAACCTAAACAAACATATCTGTTTTCCACAACATATTTTTGTGTTTTAACAAAATGTTATATTAAGAAATTGTCAAATCAAGTCTTCGTATGCAGCCGATTCATAGCCTAAATATATATATTGCTTATATAATTAAACAGAAGCGTTTTTACATGATCTCTACAGTAATAAGAATATTCTCTTTATATGTACAATACTCCCATTTCTTAGGATAAGTATACATGATTTGGAAAGACTTTATCTCCAGTAATAACTTCACCACTACAACAGAAATTCAAAGTGTGATAAATTTTCAAAAATAAAATAGATTATGTGATTCAAATAATCTCTTTATACAAGATATTTCTACTTTCAAAATCACTAAATGATAAACCTTTTTCAGCATCAGATTATCAGTCGAACACAAAAATATCACTCATCCAATATCACTACTCTCGTAGACAGTGCAAGGAGAAAGAGCAAATTATATATTTTTGTGAAATTATAGAAGAAGCAAAACTTCACATCTAATCAAATGACTATGTGAGGTGACTAACCAATGCGTTGGATGAGTCAAAACTACATATTATGAAATATATCTGGAAGTTGATGGTAAAAATGTGAAAGAAAAAAGGGAAAGGAAGATCTACAAAATGTAAGGATCGAGTAGCCAAACGTTCAGCCATTTGTGAGATTGATGCTTTTATATAGCAGGCCTACTCCGTGTAAACAATCATAAATTGTTTACACAAGGATGTTTACACAAGGATGTCCTTGGGTAATATCTAGACGTAGACCTATACCGTACCTGGTACCTGTACGTGTATCAGCCATGACGCGGGGCAAATCCAGGATTCTCTGACCGGCATATTTGGTTTGGTTGAGGGGGGGGGGGGGGGTGGGGCGGGGGGGGGGGGGGGTAAGGAACATTCCCCCTGTCCCCCTTACAAACACCGCCAGTGAATCTACTGAAAGAAATCACTATTGATATCAATGATGCAGGTGATCGTGAGGCTGGATATATATCTGAGTCAAGAGGCCATGGACAAATATTTCTTGGCATACATGTTGGTTTTGTATTCTAATGACCTTTTCCCAGACCAAGGCTATATAAGTGAACTAACCCTTAAAGGTACCATTTGCAGGCCAAAAAAATTAAAAGGTTAACTTCCAACGGCATTTGAAAGATAATACTGAATTAGAACTTCCCTCAAAACGAAAGGGCTTGAAATGTCTCTTTGTGAGAAAATAACGACCGTCAGTTGTCGATCAAATGCACGGATTGCAGTCCTTTTATTAAATAGTCTAATTTTCAGACCCTTGTACCGAATGGTCGTACGTTTTGTGCTGCCCCAAAATTCGGTCAGATTAATTTTGGCCAGTACAAGAAGTCGGTAATGGGTGTAGACAAATGCTCATGTACCCTTTAACAGCTCATTTTGTGTATGTTATTACCAAAGAAAAAGTTAGTCAGTCACTAAATAGTGTCTGTCAGTGAAGTCTAGAATGTTAACGGGTTTCCTTACATAATTTGAATACTAGAACACTGCTAACGTTTAAAATTTACAGATTCTACGTGACATATTCATAATTTCTGAAAAGATCTACAGAATTAAATGTTGGCTGCAAAAGGGAAATACTACAACACTCAGATACAAAATCAATCAAGGAAAAATCTTTTCGAGTTTGTGACGATCGTTTGACACCAACATCAAACTGCCAGTATAAAATTAAATGCCATAGCATGTCAGGCTGATTTTCGTTTTTGTTAAATAAACAAATTACATATTTGTATACAGGTGCTCAAAGTATATAACATATCTGACTGTACGAGAAAGAGGCTCCCATGCCCACCTACAAAATAAAGTTACCACTGGAGGAAATTATACACTTTTAAATCTACTTAACCAATATCTGCTCTTATAAGCCGATACGCCTCTCAATCGCGATATTCCTCCTGCGATTTTCGGACTTTATTTTAAAGAGAATTATACTGACTTTCTCCGCAACATTCTTGCAACCCTTCACAGAAAACACCCCGTCGAACTGCAGCTCAGCAAGTACCTCATCTTCTGAAAGCGAATTGGACTCGTAACCACGGTCCTTGAACTCAGCTTGGATGCACTGCCTTACGTGAGATGCTTCCAGTGGGAAGAAGGGTATAAAATGACTGACGAGATGTGAATTGATGATTCGGGCCTTTTTAAAACCATCATCTAGAATATAGAATGTAGAAAAGGATGAAGAGATCCTGCATATCCATTACATTTTTTTTTTTACAATTGGTGGTGAAAATAACTGTATGAAAGGCCCATTAGTGGTAAATTGACAAGGTGAAAATGAAGGAGAGAGAAATATGGAAAATAACAATAATAATAACAAGGATAGGCATTTCTATGGCGTCGTCTATCTAGATAATTCTTATCCGTGGCGCATTAATTATTACCCCGGCTTTAGCCTAGCTGCCATTACAGCGCTCTAGTATTTCAAGGAATTAATTCATGTCAGGTAAAATAATCCCAAAGCAAATATCTTTGATTCGGCCCATTTTGTTGTTGTAAGTTGTATTTCATCCAACATAACATTTATTTCTGTAAAATGCTTATTATAAACGGTTTTCTTTTTTAGTGCTCGTGCACTTCAGGTGGATTTTTTGCCTTTTAAATCGTAGATGTTATGGTTATTATTATTAAAATGAACATCATGCCTTGTACAGAGATGAGTATCATTATCAGGTTGTGTAGATGTTATCACCATTTCATACTCATAAGGTATTTGATTGAATTGAAACAATTGACAAAAGAAGCAAGGTTTACATTGAGGGAAACGGGGTAAAATAAGCCCAGTCTCTTTATGCTTAAACCTCATAAAAAAAGCTGTAAGAAAAAGTAAAAACTATTGTCTTTATTAATCCTTAGGTATGATATGATCACATGAAAAATAGACTGGATGATAATATTAGACTATAAGAAAATAGTAGGAAATTACTAACCAGAGTTACCACTGACTTCGTTCGAGATGAGTCGCTCCATATCAACCGATTTTATGTCTTTTCTCGCTATTCCATTCTCATACGATTCCAACATATGCTTTTTGATGGCTTGTGCAGCTAGGTTACTATTTTTATGATAGAAAGACAGTAATATGGCGAGAGTGAGACAGAAGTATGATACTTCTGACTTCTTGACTATCATCAGCTCATCAGTACTAGTGTAAAGGAGGGATTAAAGCACACTGCAAGGTCACTGGACAGGTGGTTATCTCATCAACTCACTGGCTTTCAAATAACATAAGAAAAAGAGAATCATGGGGGACCAATGGTCACCGATCAGGCATTGTTTGTTATATAGAGGGCGCAAGTAGTGCAATAGGCCTTTAGTAAAACCGACTCTACGACCACATTTATCTATGGAAAAATTAGCTCTCAGACTACCTTCCTTTATTGATAGTTGTTTGAATAAAAGCTTAGCTCCAGTTTCAGGTTTAAGTTTGGGTGAATATGGTATGGGTCTTATAGTTACAGCGAAATTCTTTTGAACACTCTTAATATTTGATCATTGATCTTCATATCGTTTTTATTTATTTAACTTTTGAATTTTTAGTTAACTTTCATTTAAAACTGAGTATAAATCTCAAGATGTTCATTTTATATTATCATTATCATTATCATTGGGTATTTGGCGTCACCCATGCCTGAGAGGCAAATAGCAAACTAAATCACTGTAACCCTCCGACGGTCTCTTCTCCCGGTATAATTGAATGGGGATGTTTATGTGTACCACTTCAACGGGTTTCCCCCTACTCTGTATATTCGCGTTATGAACATAATTACAATAGAGATAATCTATAATGACTCAGCATTGTAAAATCAAAAACTGGCCCTTTTAAAATTAATGGCGTATGTGAAATACGTTTCAAATTTATTATGATACAGAGTTCAGTGATTTCATGTAGGACATTTTAAAGCATAAAACGGCTGTCAATTTTTCACATGTTGTAAAAGCAAAAACCATAACAGTTTAATAATTCATCTAAATGAGCCTCAAAAACTGACCTTACCCCACCCCCCCCCCCAACGAAATGAAATATCGATCGGCCGAATTTCCAAATTTTGTGACACACCAAAAATATGACCTCTTACCCCCCCCCCCCCCGCTTATTCAGCGGCTAGCTGTGTTTTGCTAAATCTTTTCCTTACCGAAGTAAGGTGTATTGCCCCTCTGACACTTCCACGAATTTTGGCTCCCGCATTGCCCCGCATTGAGGCGTGCCAGTGCGTGACATTAAGGACTTTTACATTTGCGTGGACTGATACGTGTAACGTCCATTCAAGGCAGTACATTAAAAGGACGTCGATCGTAGCAATCCACGTTGTCGTTGTGCAAATCTAAAAGTCCCTATTTAGTTGCACGAAGACCGGGTATCGTTCGTGCAATGCGTAACAACATGATAAGCATTGTCCCGTCATGTTTACGACATACTTACGTCCTACTTACGCCATACTTACGGCATACTTACGTATTGTTCATGCTATTATTCACGCATTGTCACGATAAATTTTTTCTCCATATTTTTCCCTCCACAGGGATTTTATTGAGTTTCATTTGCAACAAATTAATAAATATATATTCAAGGTAATTAACATGTATAACATAAATACAATTCTCAGGATACAAGTATTGTATTGTATTGTATTGTTGAGGTAACAGAAAACTAACAAATTTTCAATCTTTCATTTTCTTATGAATTTATTATTTCTACAATTCTAATGTGCAATATACTTTTCGTTTTTGAAATAATTTATGATCGAAACTCTAATATTTTCAGAGTCGGGCAGTTGTTTCTTTACTTTGTAAGTATACACCATCTGTCGCACCACAATCAATATACAATTCAATGAATAATTTGTTGAACCTAAAAAACCAAATAGCTTATCTTATAATGAAAATGCTAATTTATTTCCTGTTCCAGTATATATCCAATGCTCCAACCTATCCCAAATATGTTTAAAGACCGTCAATACTACTGGGCCAGAGGGGATTAGACCACTCAGTGAGGTCACTGATAGGTGGCTATCTCATTAACTCGACGGACCAACAGGCACCGATTGGGGAAGTTTTCTATATAGAGGGAGCAAGCAGCTAAAAGCTACACATGTATAACTGTTTCAATCTGTACAAAATGTACATTCTTTTCTTGGGACTAAATTCATTTTAAACAGTAGATCGTTCGTATATAATATGCGTTGCAAAACCTTAAACCGAAACCATCGTAAGCCCACATCAAGGGTACAATTAAATCCAATGGGACAATTATGTTTTCCAACTCTTTTCATTCAGGTCGAAAAATCGTTTCCATTTAAGAAAACTTTTACATACTCCTTTAATATGGGAACATCCTTTAATACGTTTCAAAACAATTACAAATAGTACAATTGTTAAACCATTCTCTATTTGCATCGCGTAATTCACGATAAAAAGGAAAATTTATTTGAATATTACACTTTTCTTGGAAATGTTCCAGAGAGAAAGAAAAAAAAAATCACCATTTGTCTTTAAAATATCATTGACAAAACGAAATCCCTTTTTACACAATTTTTGCCTATTTTAATGTAATCATTATTCCGTAAGTGTAGGCAAGAAATGCACGGACAAGAGCGTACTATAAGCCATGAACATTTCTTTCCAAAAAGGTTCTTTGTTTTACCTGCCAGTTCCCGAAAATAATTGTTTCCCATATACAATTTTAAATCTTGCAGTTCAGGCAAGAAAGATTGCAAAAGACAGAGGATATTGCTATTGAGCCAATTACCAATGTCTTAATCCAGGAAATTTTTAATGATTGGCACGAGATGCTTTCAGCGGTCAACTTGTCTTTTCCTATTTTCCTTTCTTTTCTGTGCCGTCGCATGCGCATGCGTAGACCTTGCGCAAGTAATGTGAAAACTGTGCGGGAAGTATGCGCAGTCGATGCGCAGCCGATGCACAAATTATGAGCAAAGTATTCGTAAATCCGTCGTGAACTGGTCGTAAACATGCGCGCCCCTCGGGCATTGGCATGCACCGGTCACTACTGACACGGGTATGATACGTATAGGACAATGGCGTAAATTGAACCATGACTTATTTTCACAAGTAATGTATCCATTTTTTCTTGCAAACTGACCCATTCCCAAATAGCCAGGAAGAGCATATGTTTTTTTTTTTTTATAGTCACTAAGGGCCTTATAGTAGCCACTAACAGTAACACTAATTCCTTTCCAGAAGCTACTGTGCAAAGCACTGCCGAGAGATAACATGCTACCCACCACTCGGGCTGAGCATGCACAGATTTGCGAACGAGCGTTCCATACTTACATCGTGTAACACTGCACATATACCGTTAAAGGTAAAGACCAGTAATGGTCATGCGATTGCATTGTGAAAGAAACGTTGTGGAATCGATCAGAAAAGGTTGATCATCTAGCATCTAGCATCTGCAAGGTTCTGGAATCATCAAAATGATAAGAAATTTGGCCCATTCTTCGTAAAGTTACAAGCACTATACACAGAAAGATGTATATGGGACTACCCTATCTCTCTCACAAGACCATGAGAGAAATAAATTTACCAAATATATGAATTAGTAGGCGGTTTCCCGGCAAATTTTTTATCATCATGTAATGATGTATAAGTCAAAACATATTCTTTCACATGATTGGTAATGAGAGCTTCCATTTCATTTTTTGAAATTGGGGCGTTACCAATACTGGTCTTTACCTTTAAGCGCCCAGTGGTGGAAATTGATTCAGACAAGATTAAGAGTAGATAACGGTACAACGAATCGTCTTCTTTCTCTAATAATTTAGTGAAACGGCAAAGCTTCCGCGCTTCGCGTGGGAGGGGGGGGGGAGGACAAATAATTTCAGACTAGGATTAAGAGTCGAGAACGGCACAACGAATCGTATTAATCTTTCTCTAATAATTAATGAAACGCGAAAATAATTCCAGACAAGAATTAAGAGTAATAATTAAATAAAACGACAAAGCTTCCGCGCTTCGCGTGGGAGGGGGGAACTGAATTCAGACAAAGACACAATAAAACAATTCGTCTTCTTTCTCTAATAATTTAATGAAACTTGAAAGCTTCCGCGTTTCGCGCGGGATGGGCGAAAATGAATTCAGACAAGGATTAATAGTAATAATTTATTGAAAAGCAAAGCTTCCGCGCTTTGCTAGAAAAGGGGGGGGGGGAAGGAATTCAGACAAGGATTAAGAGTCGAGAACGGTTCAACGGTACAATGAATCGTCTTCTTTCTCTATAAATTTAATGAAACGTGAAAGCTCCCGCGCTTCGCGCAGGGTGGGCGAAAGTGAATTCAGACAAGGGTTAAGAGTAATAATTTATTGAAACGTCAAGGCTTCAACATTTTGCGCGGGCGGGGTAGGGGGACTGAATTTAGACAAGGATTAAGAGTAGAGACCGGTACAATGAATCGTCTTATTTCTCTAATAATTAAAAGAAGCGTCATAGCTTCAGCGCTTCGCGCGGGAGGGGCGAAACAAGAATTAAGAATCGAGAACGGTACAACGGATCGTCTTCTTTCTCTAATAGTTAATGAAGTGTCAAGGCTTCCGCGCTTTGCGCGGGAGGGGGGAAACTGAATTCAGACAAGAACACGATACAACGAATCGTCTTCTTTCTCTAATAAATTAATGAAACGTGAAAGCTTCAGCGCTTCACACGGTATGAGCAAAAATGAATTCAGACAAGAATTAAGAGTAATAATGTATTGAAACGTCAAAGCTTCCGCCCTTAGCACGGGAGGGGGGGGGGGGGGGAAACTGAATTCAGACAAGGATTAAGAGTCGGGACCGGTACAATAAATCGTCTTCTTTCTCTAATAATTAAATGAAACGTCTTAGCTTCCGCGATTTGGGCGGGAGGGGCGAAACAAGCTTTAAGAGTTGAGAACAGTACAACGGATCGTCTTCTTTCTCTAATAATATAATGAAGTGTCAAAGCTTCCGCGCTTCGCGCGGGAGGGGGAAAACTGAAAAATAACTTAGTTCCTGGCCCAGGGTTTATAGGGTTAAATTTGTGGACATCTGGACATTGGCATTTTAATATTTGTCGGTAATAATATTGGTGGCTCTTTTTGTCGTTTATCGGCGGCCTCTACACCCCCCCCCCTCCCCATTCAAAAAGAATAAGCGACGCCCCTGATAACAACACAGTTTATACACTCGAGATAATTTTTGCAAGTACTACTGGTGAAGTACCGGACCACCGTCTTTGTGCATTGTGCGGCATCAAAGCATAATTTATACAACGTCTCACGACGTGACAGATTACTTTTCTCGATCTTCTAACCAATCAGAAGGCCTCTTTTTTTCCATGAAGTGCCGGTGGACATTAATGCGCCAAATGTGGGTCTCAAATTGCAAAAGATCCCTACTCTTGGAAGGGGTAGGAGAAAGCAATTTTAGGAAGTTCCTGAAAATGCGTCTAATTTGGTTCTAAAATTGCAAATGCTTCTTAATCTGGGAGGGGGCCAGAACCCCCTTGAGCTTCGGGGTCTTTGCCCCTAGACCCCACTTTGAGAAACGTTCAGCGGGGCCTGCATGTTAGAGAGTGGTGATTCGGATTTGTTTTGGTAAGCCCCCCAAACGTTTTTGCTCATTACGCCACTGGTATAGGATACGCATAAATCGTGAAGTGTTCACGAAAGTCGTCCACCAAATTTGTCGTGCCAAAATTTTAAACATTTTGACAATTGTGCCACGAATTTCAAGCCTTGTCCCGCATTGGCCCTCATCCTCCCGTATGTTCCACGAACGCTTCCCGTTGTGGCAAGAACGTGGCACGAAACAATGCGCAAACCATGCGCGAACCAAAATCGTGCAAGTGCCAGGCCGGGTGCCTCATGTCTTGCTAAATCTGCCATAAAGTAAAGGAGATGTGTGTCTTTTCATGCCACATGTCTTGCTAAATCTACCTTACTGACCTTCTGAATATAACGATGACTTTCCTATAATCGACCCCATCTACTTTAGTATGGTGATGTAAGAAGCTCCTCATACTGTCTAGTAAGCCAGGGGGCGTGTTCTCTACCTCATCAAATATGAAGAGATGATTAGAACATTCAGAAACCTTGGATTTGATGAATCCAACCAGCTCCTCCTGTAGAGAGAGAGAGAGAGAGACAGAGAGAGAGAGAGAGAGAGACAGATAGAGAGAGAGACAGAGAGAGCAAATAGAAACAGAAATAGAAATGAATGTAATCGGTTGTGAACACTGCTTGAGTTCTTAATTTAAAATCCTGATTCATTAATCTACCCGGCATGCCTAAGAGGCCACCCATTGAGGGGCACATGGGAGGGGGTTAGGGTTATTTTACAGTGCGTCCCAGAAAAAGCGAAACCGAGAACTATCGAGCATCACTTAAAACAAACAGAACTTTGTTATTCCTTGCTCATTTTTCCTGATTGAGGTGTCATATGAAAGGGCAGAAACTGAACATTCTAGAAATATGATTTTCTCTTTGAAATTCAGATATCGCCTGCCAAACGACTTTTTGGTTTCCTCTCTTCAAATTGTTTTTAATCATTCATGCGTGAAAATGCATCATCCGAGTTGCGTCAAATGAAAGAGGAGGATCTAAGCTTCACAAATATGTGTCATTTATTAATTATAATTGTGATTAAGTCATGATAAAATATCGATAACTCTCGGGTTTTTTTCTGGGACGCTTTTTTATCGGTCATCCTTAACTAGAGCCATGGGCAGTTTTTCATGAAACCTTCATAAGTAGAAGTTCCCTGACATCCCATTGAATCGTATGTGTTGTAGTTAATCCGAGTAACAATGAAATATCGTTGAACTTGTAACTTATGACGGTTTCGTGAAACGATATTACCGCACACACAAACAACTTTAAAAGAAATGATGAACTTGTGCAATTATCCATAACTTTAAATCTAAAACATCAAAATGTTTTTCGCTTATTGTTTGTGATGTCATACAGTAGCTGTGAATATTACTACTACTAGTACTACGGTGACATCATGTGTTGGCCTTGATGGCAATTCGCTAATTAGCATGATGCCTGTGTGGATATTTTTCATCGAGTGATGCGATATAGATCAATCGATTGTGCTGTTTCTTCTTACAGTGATATAATATAACCAAGTACCTTGTAGTCAGAAATGTTGTCATGATGAGGATAGTCTATTGTAGACATCTTGACAGTTACACATCCGCTTTCCATTCCGTTTGTGTAAAGATTTTTAACCACGAGACGACTGATGTGGTTCTTACCGGTTCCAGCTGGTCCGTGCAGGGATAGAACCAATGGCTTTGGTGGATTAGGATTGGTCACATGACCATCTATAGCACCAAGGACGGTCATGTATGCCAAGGGCTGGCCAAACAAATGGTCCTCAAAAGCATCGGCAAGAGCTAGAAGAATAATTTATCATAGACATATGAATTACATGTACCGATACTACATTTATTCAAATATGAGATGATTCTTACCAAATTTGCTGTACCTACCTTTGCATGAATAAGGGATGCTTATATACAACAACAATAAACAACAACAACAATAATAACAATACTACTACTACTACTAATAATAATAATGATAATAATAATAACAATAATAATAATGATGCTAAAAATTATTATGAAAATAATAGTACTATACTACAACTATCACTACTACTACTACTGCTAGTAATACAACTAATTGTTAATGATGCTGAAGATGCTGATGATGCTGATAATGATGGTTCTGATGATGTTGTTGATGGTGATGATGCTGTTCGTGTTGATATTTACATCCGTGGTTAGCTAGCTATGTCACAGAAACCTGGGACACGAGGAAATATCTGTAACGGATACTGTCAATGTATTAATCAATACATTTACCCATATTATGATTTTTTTGTAAAAATCATTATTATTGTTACTATTATTATTACTATAACTTTTATCATTATTATTATTACGAAGATATCGCTTTAAGAAGTCCTTAAAGTTGGTGTATCCCTTAAGCAGCCAACATCAGATTATGTAGAATTTTGCAGGAATTATCAATACGTCACGTCCTATCTGTGAAATTTAAACGTTAGCAGTGTCTTAGTTTTCAAATTATGCATGCCGAAAACCTGTTTACTTTCTAGACTTCACTGTCAGACACTATTGAGTGATTGACTGGTAAAACATAAAATGAGCTGTAAAGGGTACATGAGAATGTGTCCACATCAATAACCCACTTCTTGTAATGGCCAAAATTAAGCTGATTGAATCTTTGCGCAGCACAAAAACATACGACCATTCGGTACAAGGGTCTAAAAATTAGACTACTAAATTAAACGAGCGCGCTCGCTAAATCCGACTCGACAACTAACGGTTATTTTCCCACAGACGTTTTCAAGCCCTTTTGTTTTGACGGGAAATCTAAATTAGTATTATCTCTCAAATACCATTGAAATTTTCATTTGTTGGCCTTCAAATGGGACATACTACCTTTAATTATTGGTATAATCACTAAATTCCTAAATTTGAATACGATAAAAAGTCATTACCTATATTGACTTAGAGTAAGTAAAAGTACATGTAGCGAAGTTTGACATAATTTACACCAAATAAAAAGTACATTGTTTTCAGACGACAATAATCAACATTTAATTAATACGGTCACTCATTTAAATGCCATGTGACTAATGACTTTTTCATTGAATCAACTTTGACAACTTCAAATTAAGGGCTGTCATGAAAATGGCAAGGAAAAGTTCAGGAAATGCAAACGTTTATCTACACTTAATGTAGGCTTGACTAATCAACTTTTTTTCATTGATTAATTCATTATATCATACCATTTCTTTTATCCACAGAAAAATAGGTTGTACAAATTATGTTCAATAAATATTAGAAAAAATTAGGGATATATTTTTCCTTTTGTGATATTTTGTCATTAGTTTTGTTAGACTGCTAGAAACATTTTTCAAAATGATAATAAAATATATATACCGACCATCTAAATTAGGTTTATATTCATGCTGATAATTAGGTTTAGGAGGTTCAAGAGGTTTTTGAGGTTGTTCAGGTTGGTGAGAATGCTCATGTTGATGATATTCAATTTGATGATAATAGCTTGCTCCACGCCAGCAGCATTCAATCGTCCCACAACACAGCATGAAGAAAAACCCATAGAGAGCCACTCCCCACATGATGAAGAAATTGTCAGCCAAATCTGCAAAATTAGAGAAGTCTACAATTTTACTAAAATTAGAGATTTTATGCAATTACATAAAAACAGTAAGTAAAAATTGGGGTTAAGAATTCATAGTACTGTAAAAAATATTTAAACCCCCCCCCCATACATTTTAAAGATGATCTTATAACTATACGACACTTTCATTATTTCTAAGCAAAAAAATGTGTCCATGATAAACAACAAAATATAATATTCCAATATCATTGTTTGCAGCCAGAAGGGTGGTAACTATTTTTAAAACTCTTGTGTTAATGCTCCAGACAATATTGCTGACATGTTCCTTTGTTTGGTTGGGTTATTTTTTAAATTCATGAGTTGAAACATAAAATGCCAACATTTCCTCAAGAGTAATATAATTGTGATTCATAATATTTCATCACATTCCATTTCAAAGTATAGTATTTTCATTTTTATCATCTTTACATCATCATCATCATCGTTATAGTCATCTAGTAGGGAATGTACGCGTTGGCCTGTAATCCCCCCTTACTACGTCTGGCATTAATTGACAAAGATAATAAATGTATTCGTGTGCTTGCAGGAGGAGTCAGGGAAGGTCAAAATTAATGCTTATTCCACCTGGGGGTGTTTCACAAAGATCATAAGTCGAACTTAACTCTAAGTTGGACTTAAATATTATGGAAAGCCATTTGTAGCCTTAAAATGAAATATATTCCAAAGCAAAAATTCAAGTATTTTAGGCTTTTCACATTAATTCCACATCAAAAACATAAAATTTCCTTGATAATAGAAAATATGAATGATTTGAATAAACATTAAATGCCTTTTAAAGAAACTTTTACAACATATTTTCAAAGATGCTAACGGCTTTCCATAATTTTAAGTTCAACTTAAGGTCTTTGTGAAACACCCCCCCCCCCCCAGAACTTGTCTATAAGCCTTTTGAAATTTTCATTTGTTTTTGCTTGCACTTTATCTTAAGGCGAGTTGCTCCAATCCTGGATGGTGAGAATACTGGAGAATTATTTCTTATGTAACGTCTATTGTGTTCTCTTAAAGGGGCACGTTCCCGCCATTGTAGTTTTCGCTGCTCTAGTCATCGCCATCTTGGTTCCGAAGATCAACTTCTAATTTGCATACAACTGTCAATCAAAGTACGCGCGGCCTGGCATGGCCTGCCTTCGTCAAGCCAGCTGATCACTGCCGATCCTGACGTCACGAAAGTGGGCGGAAACAGCAGCCGAATCTTAGAACCGAACTGCAATTGGTATTACTTCGGCACATGTATGCGATAATCGGCATTGTGCGGGCATTCGGAACATGCCATCTGCGTAAGAGCCGTATTCTGTTGGTGTCAATATGCAGCTAGCACCGTCCGCCAGCGGGTACGTATTTTGAACGCCCTCTGGAATGCGGGGAACATGCCACTTTAATATCTTTATATATCTTTCAGATATATCTTTTTTGGATATAAAATCAATTCCAATGAGAAATGTATCAAAAAGACTGTATATCCATACCAAACATTAAATGTGTAACATTAGAAAAACCAGAGAAATCATTTCACCCATTCATCATTCAAGTTTTGTTATTTTTATAATCTTACTTACTTACAAGCTATTACTCTTTAAAAAAAACGTACAGGCTTGTGAACTGGGGCCCGTTTCTCGGACCGTCATAAGTCTAACTTCTTGGATGATGCCTAGGTTACATTTAAATCAGACGTCGGCTGATGTACCCGACTCAGCCGACCGGTGAATAAGAGGGGGGGGGGGGGGGGGGGGGAGGGGGGGGGGGGGGTGGGTAAGAGCATTTTGGTTTTGTTTGTGTGTGCAATTAGTCAGAAAATATTAAGCAGCGATTCATCCAGCAGGTGAATGAGCGGGGGGGGGGGGGGGGTGATGGAGAGAAGAATCACTTATTTTGTTTTGGGAGGGGGGGGGGGCCTTTTGTTCTCCCGAGGGCCCTGCAATCATATTATTACCCGGGCTCTAGCCAACCTACCATTATTATGTGCTTCCTACCAGGTACCCATTCGCTATACACCTGGGGGGTCGGGGAGGTGGGGGGGGTAAGCGGACACTTTTTTTTTAACTCCAAAAAAAAATCGCAACGACTCAGCCGAAAAGTCGCTCAGTGGGGGGACATTTTTTTTGTTTTTTTGTTTGTCTCGAAATTTGAAAATTTGACATTTTTCTTCGTTGGGGGGGGGGGGGTAAGGTCACCTTAGGTTAGCCGTGGGCATAATTTTTTTTCTTTTTCTTTTTCTTTTTTATTAATTAATTTTAAAAAAAAAACTAAAGGGGGGGGGGGGTTTAATTTTTTTTAGGTGGGTTTACACACATAAAAATACCAAGGGGGGGGGGGGGATTTAACCCCCAAAACACCCCCCCCCCTACGTACGCGCCTGGGTACTATTAACATGTTTGTATTTAGGCTCTCAGTCTTTTTAGTGACTGGGAATTCCACTAACCTTTGACAGACAACCAGATTATGTTCGCCAAATAAAACATCGATCCAAATTGACCGAGAGTTTGTATGGAGCAAATGTATGCCTAGTCCACCCCTGGACTGTTCTGGTTAATTGAGTGCACACCCCATAGCATACACACATACATATCACCAGGCGCGTACGCAGGGGGGGGGGTTGGGGGTTAACCCCCCTCCCCTTTTGATTTTTTTTTTTTAAAAAAAAAAAAAAAAAAAAAAATATTCCCACGGCCGACCTAAAAAAGGTGACCTTACCCCCCCCCCCCAACTGAGCAAAATGTGAAATTTCCAAATTTCGAGACCAACAAAAAAAAGTGTCCGCGTACCCCCCCCCCCCCCCCCCCCCTAAAATTTTACCATGACATGTGGATTCATATCCACATAACATGAAATAATAATAGTTTATTACACAAATTTGTTATCCCAATGACGATAACATACCAAAATCGTCACATTCCCCCCAGGACAAACAAACACTGAGAAGTTATACGTATGAACGATATCAATATGTAAACAAGATTTCTAATGCGACGACGTTACTTTCGGGTTCACGATCACGTACATTAAAGTATTACGGTCGGGTTACAAAGATCTGTTTTGTATAGGGGGTGCAGCCTGACTTCATGCTTTACCAAACTGAATCTAAACATACACCATTCTCATATCGCTCTTAATTAGCTCAATCGCTCCCCATTAATCACATACACGACATATAGACCACTCAATTCAACAATGTGTAGCGAAAAGTTTGGTGATCTAAACCCAGTCTCAGCATTTCAGTCTGAGAAAAATTATGATTTTATAAACCAGGTAAAAACAAAGCCTGAAAAGTGTCTGGGAGTCCGCCTACTAGTATTTATACGTCAATGTGAAACAGAAATATTTAAAAATGTGACCAAATTTCTTTTAAATATGACAAAGACATTTCAAATTACTCACCACTTTTTCCCTAACTACGTACCAGTCTAGGTGTTATCAGAAAGTTATCCAAATCAAGATAATAGATCCAGGCCTGGTGTTATATCATATCAGAAAATATGTATGCTATTTGCATTTACATTGGACTAGGGCACTGATCATGAGCAGTACTATATGCAAGTATGCATTTAGTTTGTCAATCTATTTTTTAGGCACTGGGAAATCCCAACAACCTTTGACATACAAGCAGATTGAGTTTTAATCGTCCAAAAAGTGATCGCCAAAAACAAACTCGATCTCGGAGGTGGCACTAAACATGCTAAACAGAAGTTGATCGATTTATTATAGTTTAAGGTTGTTAACGGGCTGTTTTGCCATAGTTTCATAGGCCTACGAAACATGGGGGTGAAAGTGCTGCGCCCAACCCCCTCTCCCCCCCCCCCGATTTTTAAAATTGCACAAAGATGTATTCAGGCACAGGTAACCGTTACTTGATTATGGCGGTTACGTAATATTCAAACAGCCTATTATCCTAACATATATGATCCTGTTTTATTGGTATGTCGAGATATTTTGTTTGTTTCAATACTTCAAAACATGCCAGTTCCATTCAGAGTAACATTCCTTTTCTTCCATTGTTTTATAATGTTCATGTCAACAGAAATAAATACTCAAGTGCAAAAAAAAGTGAATACATAATGGCCAAAGCCATTTCGAGAGTATCATGTTAATTATTCTTTACACAGTAAAGAAGCCGTTCATCATAATAGCATAGCCTTGTGTCAGATATGCCCTTTTAACAAATACACATCATAGAACAATAGACGAAGAAAGAATAAAAATGAAATAAAAGGAAAACAAATTTAGAATAAGGAAGTTGGAATTACATAATAGCTAGCCTATAACTAAGATTCATATATCAATAAAATCGCAAGATTGGCACTAAAATATTTTGTGACTATTTTTTCTTGAATCTGTAAGTTGATATTCGAGCTAGATAGCCCCACCCCCTACCCGCCCGTCCGATGGTCCCGTATACCTATATTTGACATCGTTTTTCAACATGATAACGCACATTAACTGAAGAGCTACAAAGGAAACAGTGTTTATTTCAATAAGTTTTTTTATTACTACATTCAGTTGATGGATAACATCAATAATATTTTTATCAAGATATAACGAAATATCATATTTTGTACGCGTCATATTCTGCAGGGAAAAGACGTGAGGAAACTGATAAACACTTCTCTTTAAAACCGTCAGATGAATAAAAGCTACACTAATCATTATGCCTTTTCCTTTTCTGTTATCTCATATTTTTGTAGAATTCGAATCATGGCTGATGCACTAAAGAATGTAATTGCTCAGAGTCTGGAGTTTCCTGTATGTGTTTCCTGTATGTATCTAGCTTTAAAGTCTCTCATAGAGGATGTGAAGAATCAACATCAGTTTTGCACGAATCGGGATTTCTCGATTAGTCTCTTTTTAGTCGCTCGGCGTCTATCAGACATGAGGACTTGTCTAAAGGCTAGCAGGGCACCGGACGAAAATTTCAAAAATATTTGTTTTTACTCGCCGTCCGGGTCCCGGATTGTATAAATAAAAGCCCAATCAAATAGTAGATTACATTATTTTAATTATTATGTATCTCAATCCTTTCTTTGGTTGAAAAGTAAGGCATTCAGAATAATGTTTTGTTGATTTTTTTCTCTTTGAAACACAAGTTAGACACAATAACTTTGAACTTTCGTTTCTGATATATTGTTTATGTCAAAGCTGACAATGTGAAATTAAAAAAATAATGTGAAGACAAAAACAATCAATAAATCTTCTGACACAACTAATTAGAAGATTTGTCAATTACATAGGTGGAATTAAAATTGACATTAACACAATATATACATTGAAGATAATGGTAAGTTCTGGTCGTCCGATTGCAATGTGAAAGAAAAGGTGTGGAATGGATCAGAAAAAGTTGATCATGTAGCATGTAAGTATCGGTGGGTACTGCAAAGTTCTGGAGTCATCAAAATAAAAATAACTTTGGCCCAGTCCTTGGTAAAGTAACAAGCACTGAACACAGACAGATGTATATGGGACTACACAAATGGTGTCAGGCTACCAACCTTGATTTCCTTATCTTTTTATGCTCATTGCTCAGCCAGTGTACATTTTCTACCAAAATTGTTTGGCAAATGACATTTATTTGTAATGTTGAACATTCAGTGTAATTTTCGTTTGATTCTGTGAGATTAAATGTTTTCTTCCCCAGAACTCATCTTTATTTTTGAAGAGTTAAGGTGCTCACATGATCTCGTGAACATTCAATAGCTACAATACTGCTTGATCCGCCGTTGTTGACTTACCAATCAACAAAAAAACATTAAGTAGTTTGGTATCTTCAGAGATTCGGACTATCAGACTTCAGACTATGAACCTTACTTCCATCACCTACGCCCCTCCATTGTATACTACATAGGTCTTACATGCTCATATTCGTAAACATTACGCCTCGAGCATGCAAGGAGGACATCATACCAGTTAAACCCGTTTCTAGTTGAGCTTGTGAACTTCTATACCGGATAAGGGTCGAACGATATGCTCCATGTTGAACACGAGTTCTTTTCATCTTCATTTTAAGGATTAGTTACGACACTTTCCCTAGATTTCACTTATGGGGAAAACAGTAAACAAACTCTTGAACACTGAAACACCGCTGTTAGACCTATTCATCTGTGGTTCGGATAGAAAAGGTAAGCTAAAACTTGTTTTGAATGTTGAAATGTGGTGGTGTACTTGAAGTGCGTATCAGGACACTGAAATACCCCAAGGCATCACTCCCCGGAACAAGCTGCAGTCAGAGTTTGTATAGAAGTGGTGGAGTTTCGGAGAATGACGCCAATTAAAAGATAAACGAGATGATTGAAATAAATTACAACAAATAATTCGAATAAACTGAAATTGAAAAAAGTACATCCCCAAATTGATTATGTTACATCTTATTTTCGAACGACAAAATGCGTTGACAAATTATCCACAGAACATCAATGCAAAATTAATTCCTAAGGTTCGGATCAAGTAGATGCCCCTATCAGTTTATCGAGTTTAACCTTTGCAGTAGATACAAACCTTAAGTTTTCTTACATAGACATGTGAGCTGTTGGTTGAAGTACTCTGGTCGAGTTTTTAGGTTGTTGGAATTTCCAAGTACCTAAAAATAGAATGACAAACGAAATATATACATGTATACAGTATAGCACCGGTTATGATCAGTGCACCAGTCCAACCTAAAGGCGAATAGCATACATGTATATCGGTTAAATATTACTTTATAGACTGATACGTAGTTACTGAAAAAGAGGTGAGTTTTAAATGTCTGTCATTTAAAAAAAAGAAATACAGCGACAATTGATAATATTTTCGTTTGAAATGGTTGTATATAACTTTATAAGACTGACGCCCAGACACTTTCGAGGCTTTATTTATATCTGGTTCATAAAATCATCATTTTCCTTCGGCTGAAATAGGAGAGGGGGGGGGGGGTCTCGGTCTAGGTGTCTTTCGGGTGATAATTGGAGAGCGATTGAGCTAAGGCCAAGATTAAACAAGTACATGTAAAACTGCTTACTGTTCGTTTGTCGTAGATTTTGGTATGTTGCAGTGATTTAAATTACAATTTTGTCATTAATTATTATTCTTACAGGTTATATAGATACAAATGCATTTAGTAAATATTTCAGGTTATAATGTGATTCTTAACATACATTGTAGCTAACATATATTTAAGCTAGTGATTTTGCCAAACCAGAGCACTCTCATTTCTACTCTACAAAAATGATTATTTTTGTTTTAATAGGATAGTCCAACGTGCATAAGTATATGTTTATAGAGTACTGCTTCTGATAATTCATCGGAATTTTGCCTTATAATTTTTAGAGTTGTTCAAAGTCTAAACTCCAACCCTTGTAATAAGTTGATTTGTATAAAAGCAGAAAATAACAAAAACAGAAAGGCAACACTTTTAAATGAATCGGATCAATAATAAGGAAGTTGTAAATGTTTGAAATATGAGATCACTAAGTCTATGCGCATCTCAAATTCGTAATTCGGTTAGCGGATTACTTTCCCATTTGCCGTGTACAAAGATATCATTAATTTCTGTTTTTCGCGTAAATTCCTTCTCCCTTGGGTAATACTCAAAATATATTATAGAAACCATATTAATATAGGTCCTCTAAAAAGAATAGACCCTCCTTAGCAATGATTTTTTTTAAATTTAAATTTTAGTCATGTTGGAACAAATGGGAAAGTAGTCCGGCACTAGATCACGTTGACATTACCGCTTTAGCCAATCTGAAGTGCCCATACGTAAATAATTACAACTTTCACTTTCGAGTACCATCACGATTTTAATTTCAATTGACAAGACAGTACCCTACATTGGTTACATTCCACCTATCCCAGGAGTAAAGTGAATGGGTACCCGGTTGGGAGAAATTCCGTGAATGCTTAAGAGCACATTATCATGGTAGGTTAACTAAAGCAGGGATAGTAATATGATTGCAGGGCCTCGTGAAGGGCCCTTTGGTGAGAACACTTAGTGTACTGAAGAGGTTCTGGGTAAACATGCCATCATATCTATAATGATGATTATTGTTATCATAATCATTAATGATATTATTATTATTAACATTACTATTGTTGTTATCATTATTATCATTATTATTATCATCATCATTTTTACTCGTTAAAATGTAGATTGACTGAAGAGCGACAAAGGAAGAGGTTTTATTTCTAAATTCATTTTTTATCACTACATTCAGTTGATATTAACATGATTTTTTTTAAATCAAGATATAACGGAATATCATATTTTGTATGCGTTATATTAATAATAATAATAATCCGGTTTTTATATAGCGCTCAATACACCGATCCAACGATGTACCTAAGCGCTTTACAGATATATTATTACCCCGATCATCGGATTCAGGCTAACCCGCACACAATGTGTGCACATTTTCCACTCCCTGGGGAGCATTCCAGCCAGTCGCCATTTTACAGGCGCACACTTGCTCGTTCAACCACATGAACGTTCGCATCCTACCGGGTATATTATGTAGAGAAAAATGATATTGTCACTCCTCTTGAATACCGTCAGATGATTAAAGCCAAAATATCATTGTTTGTTTTCCTTTTCTTTTATCTCGTATTCCTGTAGAAATCGAATCATGGCTGATGCATTCAAGAATGTCACTGCTCAGAGTGTGGAGTGTCCTGTATGTCTGGATACCTTCACCGATCTCAAGATTCTGTCTTGTTCTCACACCTACTGCAAAGCCTGTCTGGACAACCTCTTGGAATGCCACGGTAACGAACAGATGCTCCGATGCCCTGTCTGCACGGCTGAAACCCAGGTCCCAAACCAAAATGTCAGCAAATTACCGGAAAACCTAGCTTTGAAGTCTCTTATAGAGGACGTGAAGAATCAACATCAGTTTTGCACGAATTGTAAATCCGAGGACAAACCCAAACTGTTGTCTACTGTCAAGACAGTGGCATGTATCTCTGTATCACTTGTCACAACACACACTCTCTGTGGCAAAACTTCATTAGTCATGAGGTCCTAGCCTTGAGTGAGATCAAATCAGGGAAGGTGTCAGTACCTAGGTACCGTAAATTCAGGAAACACCCCAAAGAGGATGAGGAGTACTTCTGTATCAACTGCAGAAGATTTTCCTGCTTCTGGTGTGTTGTCATGGAGCATAAAGACGATGGACATCGGATCATCGAGGCAGCTGTTTATGAAAGCAGTCATATGAAGAGTATCGAGGACCTCAAATCCAAAGCGGACAAGAAACGTTCTTGCTTTCAGAAATATGTTGATTTCATTGATGATCAGAAGGAGCGTGTGAGCAATGTTTAGAAGCGGTGTATAGATGATATCAACAAAGCATATGAAGCATCAATCCGGCAGTTGATAGAAAAGAAAGAAATCCTCATTAGTGAAATCAAGGGTAGGACCGAATGAGTAGAGAAAGAGCTGGACAAAATGAAGAAATCGGGACAGGAGCACATAACTCACTTGACCACGATAGCTGACATGGTAACCAATAGGACAAAGATACCGTTAGATATGGATGCTTTGGCTGCACACGACACTCTATGTCAAGACTTACAAGAAGCTTTAAAACATGAAGATCCTGACTACAAGCAGCCGATACAATCGAGCAAGAAAGGAAAAAGTGTCACTTTTAAGAGAAACGTTGGAATGGACGAGCTGACTCTCGGTAAGATCGTAAATGCAGTTGCAAAGAACATCGCTTTGCCTACTAAGAATAACATGAATGCTATGACTGGTACACCAGACGGTAGGATGGCAGTGGTGTGTTGTAAAAGTGGCTTAGAGATCTTCTCTGCTGATGGCCAGATCCAGCAGAAAGTTTTCAAACATTTGGAGATTCATGGAGTAGGGTTCCTCTCTGATTATCGGTATGTTATACTTGATGGCTCAAACATTATCACACAGTACACACTAGAGTACACAAAGTTGAATTTAATGTTTGCGACTCTGAGTTACGATGAAGGTGGATGGGCTGGTCTCACTGTAGATGGTGATGATCAGATCTGTGTTAGCTACAGGAAAGCACAGAAGATCCAGGTATTCTCACCAGCAGGGGGAAAGGCGTTCAGGGAGATACCATGTGATGGGTATAAATAATGATTATAATGATTACCTGATCATCAAATCCTCGATGACAATACGATTGATTGTCAAACAAGGTGTTGTAAAATATAAATTATCGAAATTAGGGGTTCACTTTACGCTGCTGTGTCTCAAGGGAATACAATCCTGATAGCCACATTGAAGCATGATGAAGGTTTGGTCAGCATTGTTGAGTACACTAACGAGCTGAAGCTGGTCCAGAACCTTATCATTGATTACAAGATTGAGAAGCCCAAGAGAAATTGGTACTATCTCCAACAGTACCGATCAGGAGAGATCGCTTTCTGCACTCTGATAGACTCTATATATTCCACTGAAAATATTGAATGACTCCCCTTCTCTCGCACTGTATCACACCACTGTCTTCAGGCACGTATGAAGACAGGGGTGGGGATGCGATGAGTGCGACTAGACCTCCTTTTTCTGGTCAAATCAGACTGCTGAAAAAAATAGAATGACATAATTTTTCGTTGAAAATGGATCCATCCCCGCCCCCCCCCCCTTTTTTTTGTTAAAGCTTCTTACAGGTCTGTTTTTGTGACTTCATTAAGTTATCAGTTATATTTAGGGCTTGATGAAATGAATTTTTGGTGAATGTTTTAGAAACGATATTCCTGTATCACGTAGATCAATTTGAATTATTGAAATTTTATTAAATATACAAAGTATCCTTTCTTTTGATATAATTTCGATGTGTTTATCTTTCAAGATTTTGTTGTTGATGATGACTTTACATGTGAATCTGACCCTTTTTTTGTAGATTGTATTAATATGTAATAATGTAGACACGATTCCATTATTGTGGACTCAAGGATTATTTCAATATAGGAGATAATCACCCTTGTAATGGAATCTTTTATATATTGCTGTTTTAAATACTTACAAATACATATGTATACGTACATATACACACACATAATAGTTACTTTTAGATTCTGCACGACGAGAACGTGGACTGCCCTTTTAAGGCAATGTGACGTCACTGCCAGTGCCTTAAAAGGACGTCACATTGCCTTTAAAGGGCAGTCCACGTTCTCGTCGTGCAGAATCTAAAAGTCCCTATTAAACATACATACACTACCGTCATGTGCTTCGTCATATGCGTCATTGTCCTTAAATTCTTTGTCCTGTGGCAGCGTTATTTACAAACGACTAACTAACTATTAACAAAAGATATAGCGCTAATATGTAGGTATAGTAGAGCTACAATCTGAATTTTCTTGATCAAGATTAATAGTAGGCCTACATGGCGAGTTGAAAGTGTATTTTAAATTTTCTGTAGAATCTGATTTAATGTGATATTTCCCCTTTTTGGGTGGTGCTGAACATGAATCCACGTGTTGCCATTTTTCTATGACAAATTAAAATCAATAAAACAAATTTCCATACCATGCACAAAAAAAGCAAATAAATGTTTAATAATTCCTTGGACTTGAGATGTATCGAACACTATATAATTTCAATAGGATTTTGTATAAATACCCAAATGATTAGAACAAAGGAACAACTTTTTAAAATCTATTTAATGAATGAAAATTTATTTGTATTATACAAGTATCAAGTACATGAAATTGCACAAATGAAAAGAAGTCTAAAACCTTTCTTTGATCTGTTTCTTAAAATCATATTTTTCATTAATTTGTTTTTCTTCCACATGCATATAAACATCAGATATTTCTAAATATTTCATCTCACACATATAACTTTTTCAATCGTTAAGAGTTCATTTTACTGTAGAAGTGTTGCGTAACTATATCACGTATTTATAATTATGAAATCTGAATGTAAATGTATTTATTACTGTTATTTTTCTGCAAATCCAAACCATCTGTGGATCGGGAGCTAGCGGATGGGGGGGGGGGGTGGTGACGAGAAATACTATATTATATTATGAGACATTTTAATTTATGACGCATGCTAAATGTAGGCAATAGGAAATTGAGGGCATATGCACACTATAAACAGTTACCCATATTTATGTACATAGTTTTCTATTGTTAAATGTTATATTGTATTTTCTATCATTTGTATTTTCACTGTCAAAAAAGCCATTGGAAGCAAAATTTCTATGTAATGTTTGCATGCATGGACCAATAAAATAATCTTGAATCTTGAATCTTGAATATGAGAAAGAAAAAAAAAAAAATTTCAGTTGATGTGAAATATGATTATTTCAGAGGACTTATGTTAGAAGAGCTATCATAATGGAATCACTCATTATTTGCATTACATTTAGATATTACAACAAACTGTACGATAATCATGATTTAAGATAATTATAACATCAATAATGCTACCCCAAAATTCTAACATGACAAGCATTTATCCCTCTTCTTCAAATAATTATCTATATTGTTTCTTAAAGAGCTATAGTCAAAGAATGGACAATATGAGATATAAATCTTGACGCGTTTTCACAAGAAATGATTCCAGTGAAGGAATATAAGAAAAGAAAAGTGAATATGCGTTAAAAACGTGAACAGCAACAAATAAAAGAGCAATTAACAAATACGAAATTAAATCATATTTCAATAGATAGATTTTGTGTCGTATACCAATATGGAAAGATTTATTTAGCAATAATGAGTAACAACTTATTTGGGAATAAAACCCAACAAATCATGCTTCATTTTCAAATGTTACACAGTGTGATTAAATACTGCGCCTTCCATCAATCTTGCCTACAATAACGAATAATCAAAGAAATATTTCTACGGATGAACTGGAGCATATATGATGTACATAACTTGGCAATCTTAGAAATACTAACTTAATTTCCTATAAACATAATAATAATAACAATAATAATTATAATACAAAAACGATTAAGATGAAAACAACAATGATAATAATATATCTGTAAAGCGCTTAGACACATCTTCGGATCGATGTATTGAGCGCTATATAAACACGGAATATTATTATTATTATTATTAATAACTCAGCCTTTTACTAGTAACTAATTACTTGCGTTTAAATGCAAACTATAAAATAATTTTCACACATGATATGATAAATGACATAAGGAAATCCACTGCAGTACCAACAAAATGAATGGCACGTAGGGATTAGACGAAAAAAAATGTGCCAAAGAAAGGCTGTTACGCATACTTTGTAATCTGAGTGGATGGTCTAGAGATTTGTGACTAAAGTTGTCATATTTTTTGTTGTTAGTATGTTTTAGGTAGTTGAACAAGGCTTAAAGCCCCACTGCACTACTTGTAGCTACTTGCTCCCTCTACATAGAAATCTTCCCCAATCGGTTCATGTTGGTCCCCCATGATCCTCTTTTTCTTTCATGTTAATTTAGAGCTGAGTTAATGAGATAGCCACCTGTCACAGTGACCTCGCTGGCTCGCTGGGTGGTCTAATCCCTTCTGGCTGTACTTGTACAGCAGGCCTTCAAGCCAAGCTGACAAGTGAATTTATCCATTTATTTTTTTCTCTTTTTGAAAATTTCTTTCATTCCATTTCTAAATTTGTACTACAATTTAAAAGATAAAAGGAAACTTCTACTATTGCACTGTCAAATGTAAAATAAGGCAAGGTTTGTGGATATGTGGAATATTAAAATTCATGATATTATTATCAGCCAAAATTCACAGCATTTCCATAACCTAAACAAACATATCTGTTTTCCACAACATATTTTTGTGTTTTAACAAAATGTTATATTAACAAATTGTCAAATCAAGTCTTCGTACGCAGCCAATTCATAGCCTAAATATATATATTTGCTTATATAATTAAACAGAAGCGTTTTTACATGATCTCTACAGTATTATATGTACAATACTCCCATTTCATAGGATAAGTATACATGATTAATATATTTGGAAAGACTTTATCTCAAGTAATAACTTCACCACTACAACAGAAAATCAAAATGTGATAAATTTTCAAAAATAAAAAAAGATTATGTGATTCAAAAAGTCTTTTACACAAGATATTTCTACTTTCAAAACCACTAAATGATAAACCTTTTCAGCATCAGATTCTTATGTTAAGTATCAGTCAATCAGTCAATTGAAGTCCAGCAAACACAAAAATGTACTCATCCAATATCACTACCCTCGTAAACAGTGCAAGGAGAAAGAGCAAATTATATATTTTTGTGAAATTATATAAGAAGCAAAACTTCACATCTAATCAAATGACTATTTGAGGTGACTAACCAATGCGTTGGATGAGTCAAAACTACATATTATGAAATATATATCTGGAAGTTGATGGTAACAATGTGAAAGAAAAAAGGGAAAGGAAGATCTACAAAATGTAAGGAGTAGCCAAACGTTCAGCCATCTGTTACTGAGATTGATGCTTTTTATGTAGCAGGCCTACTCCGTTTAAACAATTATAAATTGTTGAAGGACCTCCTTGGGTAATATCTAGACCTAGACCTAAACCGTACCTGGTACCTGTACGTGTATCAGCCATGACGAGAGGCAAATCCAGGATTGTCTGACCGGCATATTTGGTTTGGTTGAGGGGGGTGGGGTGGGGTAAGGAACATGTCCCCTGTCCCCCCTTACAAACACCGCCAGTGAATCTACTTGAAAGAAATCACTATTGATAGCAATGATGCAGGTGATCGTGAGGCTGGATATACATCTGAGTCAAGAGGCCATGGACAAATATTTCTTGACATACTGTTGGTTTTGTATTTTAATATGACCTTATCCCAGGCCAAGGCTATATAAGTGAACTAGCCCTTAAAGGTACTGTGTCCAATTTGCAGGCCAAACAAATGAAAAGGTTAACTTCGAACGGCATTTGAAAGATAATACTGAATTAGAACTTCCCTCAAAACGAAAGGGCTTGAGATGTCTCTTTGTGAGAAAATAACTACCGGCAGTTGTCGATCGAATGTAGGGATTGCAGTCCTTTAATTAAATAGTTTGATTTTCAGACCCTTGTACCGATTGGTCGTACGTTTTGTGCTGCCCAAAAATTCGGTCAGTTTAATTTTGGCCAGTACAAGAAGTCAGTAATGGGTGTAGACAAATGCTCATGTACCCTTTACAGCTTATTGTATGTATGTTATTACCAAAGAAAAAAAAAGAAGTTAGTCAGTCACTAAATAGTGTCTGTCAGTGAAGTCTAGAATGTTAACGGGTTTCCTAACATAATTTGAATACTAGGACACTTCTAACGTTTACATTTTACAGATTCTACGTGAGATATTAATAATTTCTGAAAAGTTCTACAGAATTAAATGTTGGCTGCAAAAGGGATATACTACTAGACTCAGATACAAAATCAATCAAGGAAAAATCTTTTCGTGTTTGTGACAATCGTTTGACACCAACATCAAACTGCCAGTATAAAATTAAATGCCATAGCTGTCAGGCTGATTTTCGTTTTTGTTAAATAAACAAATTACATATTTGTATACAGGTGCTCAAAGTATAAAACATATCTGACTGTACGAGAAAGAGGCTCCCATGCCCACCTACAAAATAAAGTTACCACTGGAGGAAATTATACACATTTAAATCTACTATACAAATATCTGCTCTTATAATTCGCTACGCATGTTGTTACGCCTCTTGCGATCTTTATTCTTTATTTTATAGAGAATTATATTCACTTTCTCCGCAACATTCTTGCAACCCTTCACAGCAAACACCCTTGACCCATTCGGCCCGTCAAACTGCAGCTTGGCAAGTACCTCATCTTCTGAAATCGAATTGGACGCTTCACCACGGTCCTTGAACTCAGCTTGGATGCACTGTCTCACGTGAGATAATTCGAGTGGGAAGAAGGGTATAAAATGGCTGACGAGATGTGAATCGATGATTCGGGCCTTGTTAAAACCAGCATCTAAAATATAGAATGTAGAAAAGGATGAAGAGATCCTGCATATCCATTACATTTTTGGACAATTGGTGGTGAAAATAACTGTATGAAAGGCCCATTAGTGGTAAATTGACAAGGTGAAAATGAAGGAGAGAGAAATATGGAAAATATCAATAATAATAATAAGGATAGGCATTTCTATGGCGTCGTCTATCTAGATAATTCTGTTCCGAGGCGCATTTATTATTACCCCAGCTTTAGCCTAGCTGCAATTACAGCGCTCTAGTATTTCAAGGACTTAATTCCTGCGAGGTAAAATAATCCCAAAACAAATATCTGTGATTCGGCCTATAACCATTTTTATTTTGTAAGTTGTATCTCCTCCAACATAACATTTATTTCTGTAAAGTGCTTTTTAATAAAAGGTTTTCTTTTTTAGTGCTCGTGCACTTCAAGTGGATTTGGTGCCTTTTAAATCTTAGATGTTATGGTTATTATTATTAAAATGAACATCATGCCTTGTTCAGAAATGAGTATCATTATCAGGTTGTGTGGATGCTATCATCATTTTATACTCATAAAGTATTTGATTAAATTGAAACAATTAACAAAAGAAGCCAGGTTTAGATGAAATTGACAATGTGGACTTGTTATGGATGAGATTTTGAATAGTAGACTATAAAATAAGAAAATATTAGGAAATTACTAACCAGATTTACCACTGACTTCGTTCGAGATGATTCGCTCCATATCAACCGACATTATGTCTTCCCTCGCTATTCCCTTCTCATACGATTCCATCAAATGCTTGTTGATGGCTTGTGCAGCTAGGTTACTGTTTTCAAGATAGAATAACAGTTATGTGAGACAGAAGTATGATACTTCTGACTTCTTGACTATCATCAGCTCATACGTACTAGTGTAAAGGAGGGATTAAAGCACTTTGCAAGGTCACTAGACAGGCGGTTATCTCATCAACTCAGCTCTCAAATAACATCCTAAAAAGAGGATCATGGGGGATCAATGGGCACTTTTAAAAATAATGGCGTATGTGAAATACGTTTCAAATTTATTATGAAACAGAGCTCAGTGATTTCATGTCGGACCTTTGAAACAAAAAACGGCTGTTATCCATTCACATGTTGTAAAAACAAAAACCATATTAAATAGTTTAATAATTCATCTAAACGAGCCTCAATTCACTGACATCACAATCTATTAAACATTTTGTGTTTTGGATGTGTCTTTTCATGCCTCTATGTTTTGCTAAATGTACCTTATTGAAGTAAGGTGTGTGTCTTTTCATGCCACTATGTCTTGCTAAATCTACCATACTGTAGTAAGATGTGTCTTTTCATGCCACTATGTCTTGCTAAATCTTTTCCTTACCGAAGAAAGGTGTATGTCTTATTATGCAACTATATTTTGCTACATCTACCTTATTGAAGTAAAGGTGTGTGTCTTTTCATGCCACTATGTCTTGCTAAATCTACCATACTGTAGTAAGATGTGTCTTTTCATGCCACTATGTCTTGCTAAATCTTTTCATTACCGAAGTAAGGTGTATGTCTTATTATGCAACTATGTTTTGCTAAATGTACCTTATTGAAGTATTAGGTGTGTGTCTTTTCATGCCACCATGTCTTGCTATATCTTTTCCTTACCGAAGTAAGATGTATGTCTTATTATGCAACTATATTTTGCTACATCTACCTTATTGAAGTAAGGTGTGTGTCTTTTCATGCCACTATGTCTTGCTAAATCTACCATACTGTAGTAAGATGTGTCTTTTCATGCCACTATGTCTTGCTAAATCTTTTCATTATTGAAGTAAGGTGTGTGTCTTTTCACGCCACTATGTCTTGCTAAATCTACCATACTGTAGTAAGATGTGTCTTTTCATGCCACTATGTCTTGCTAAATCTTTTCATTACTGAAGTAAGGTGTATGTCTTTTCATGCCACTATGTCTTGCTAAATCTACCATACTGTAGTAACATGTGTCTTTTCATGCCACTATGTCTTGCTAAATCTTTTCCTTACCGAAGTAAGGTGTATGTCTTTTCATGCCACTATGTCTTGCTAAATCTTTTCATTATTGAAGTAAGGTGTGTGTCTTTTCATGCCACTATGTCTTGCTAAATCTACCATACTGTAGTAAGATGTGTCTTTTCATGCCACTATGTCTTGCTAAATCTTTTCATTACTGAAGTAAGGTGTATGTCTTTTCATGCCACTATGTCTTGCTAAATCTACCATACTGTAGTAAGATGTGTCTTTTCATGCCACTATGTCTTGCTAAATCTTTTCCTTACCGAAGTAAGGTGTATGTCTTATTATGCAACTATATTTTGTTACATCTACCTTATTGAAGTAAGGTGTGTGTCTTTTCATGCCACTATGTCTTGCTAAATCTACCATACTGTAGTAAGATGTGTCTTTTCATGCCACTATGTCTTGCTAAATCTTTTCATTATTGAAGTAAGGTGAATGTCTTTTCATGCCACTATGTCTTGCTAAATCTACCTTATTGAATAAGGTGTGTGTCTTTTCATGCCACTATGTCTTGCTAAATCTACCATACTGTAGTAAGCTGTGTCTTTTCATGCCACTATGTCTTGCTAAATCTACATTATTGAAGTAAGGTGAATGTCTTTTCATGCCACTATATCTTGCTACATCTACCTTATTGAAGTAAGATGTGTGTCTTTTCATGCCACCATGTCTTGCTAAATCTACCATACTGTAGTAAGATGTGTCTTTTCAAGCCACTATGTCTTCCAAAATCTACATTATTGAAGTAAGGTGAATGTCTTTTCATGCCACTATGTCTTGCTAAATCTACCTTATTGAATAAGGTGTGTGTCTTTCCATGCCACTATGCCTTGCTAAATCTACCATACTGTAGTAAGCTGTGTCTTTTCATGACACTATGTCTTGCTTAATCTACCTTACTGAATGAAGTAAGGTGTATGTCTTTTAATGCCACCGTGTCTTGCTTGATCTACCTTACTGAATACAATCATATACAATAAAGTCATTTCTATAGCGCTCTTACAAAATCCAACTGTTGTTTCACAGCGCTTTACATAAAAGTTATCAAACAATCTATTGAATAAGGTGTATGTCTTTCCATGCTACTATGCAGGCGCGTACGCAGGGGGGGGGGGGGTTGGGGGTTGGAGGTTGACCCCCCTTCTCCCCCCCTGGTTATTTAGAGGCTGGCTGAGTCGTTGCGAAATTTTTGGGATCCAAAAAAAAAATGTCCTCTCCCCCCCCCCCCCCCCGGCTTATTCAGCGCCTGGCTGAGTCGTTGCAAAATACCGACACGGGTAGGATACGTATATGATATGTACAGCCGCAAAGTGTTCACGAAAGTCGTCCACCAAATATGTCGTGCCAAAATTGTGAACATTTTGAAAATTATGCCGCGAATTCAAGCCTTGTACCGCAAAATTCCCTCATCCTCCGGCATGTTCCGCGAACGCTTCCCGTTGTGGCAAGAACGTGGCACGAAACAATGTGCAAACCATACGCGAACCAAAATCGTGCAAGTGTCAGAGTGCCTGATGTCCTGCTAAATCTGCCATAAAGTAAAGGAGATGTGTGTCTTTTCATGACACATGTCTTGCTAAATCTACCTTACTGACCTTCTGAATATAACGATGACTTTCCTATAATCGACCCCATCTACTTTAGTATTGTGATCTAAGAAGCTCCTCATACTGTCTAGTAAGCCAGGGGGCATGTTCTCTACCTCATCAAATATGAAGAGATGATTATGACATTCAGAAACCTTAGTTTTGATGAATGGAACCAGCTCCTCCTGTAGAGAGACAGAGAGAGGGACAGAGAGAAAGAGAGAGCAAATAGAAACAGAAATAGAAATGAATGTAATCGGTTGTGAACACTGCTTGAGTTCTTAATTTCAAATCCTGATTCATCAATATACCCGGCATGCCTATAGTAAGAGGCCACCCATTGAGTAGCCTTTTGACAAGGCCTCATGACTCTGGCTAAGCGGCTGAGATGAGTCTAATTACCCGGGGTGAACGCGCGACCGAGTGACGACCGTCACGAGGCCTTTTGCAATGTAGATATCACTGCTCCGCATGAATTATTCATAGATACATATTAGCATGCCAATACGCCAACTTCGGATTTATTGACCAATCAGAATGGCGATCTCCCAGTTGGTTTCGTTCGTGATTCGTTCCATGTAGAGGTCAGTGGTCTTAGCACGTACGTAATAGTTCATGTTTTTGAATGCTTTTTATATTGATGTAAACTTGCATTTTTAGTCTTCGGACTTGTTGACAAGTCATGAATAAAACCTTATTTGAACTTGAACTATAGTAGGCATGTAGGCCCATGTTCGCACTACGTAGAGTTTACTGTATGTGTGTGTGTGTGTGTGTGTGTGTGTGTGTGTGTGTGATGGATACTATATGCTGACGTCGTGCGAGGATAACTTCGCTGATTGGACGCTCCCTTTTCGGAAGCGAATTCCAGTCGGAACAAAGGTTAACATAAGAAATCCAAACAAGATTGATAAAGGCTACTTGTCTGGGCAATTCGCACTGGCGTTCACTCAGGTTTTCGCGATTAGTCTCTTTTTAGTCGCTCGGCGTCTATCAGACATGTGGCCTTGTTTAAAGGCTACCCATTGAGGGGCACATGGGAGGGGGATAGGGATACAGTGCGTCCCATAAAAAAACGAAACCGAGAATTATCGAGCATCACTTAAAACAAACAGAACTTTGTTATTTCTTGCTCATTTTTCCTGATTGAGGTGTCATATGAAAGGGCAGAAACTGAACATTCTAGAAATGTGATTTTCTCTTTGAAATTCAGATACCGCCTGCCAAACGACTTTTTGGTTTCCTCTCTTCAAATTGTTTTTAATCATTCATGCGTGAAATATGCAACTATATGATTTGCGTCAAATAAAAGAGGAGGATCTAAGCTTTACAAATGTGTGTCATTTATTAATTATAATTGTGATTAAGTTATGATAAAATATCGATAATTCTCGGTTTCGTTTTTTCTGGGACGCTTTTTTATTGGTTATCCTGCCATGGGCAGTTTTTCATGAAACCTTCATAAGTAGAAGTTCCCTGACATCCCATGGAATCGCATGTGCTGTAGTTAATTCGAGTTACAATGAAATATTGTTGAACTTGTACTTATGACGGTTTCGTGAAACGATATTACCGCACACACAAACAACCATGAAAGAAATGATGAACTTGTGCAATTATCCATAACTTTAAATCTAAAACATCAAAAAGTTTTTCGCTTATTGTTTGTAATGTCATACAGTAGCTGTGAATATTATTACTTCTAGTACTACGATGACATCAAGTGTTGCCCTTGATGGCAATTCGTTAATTCGCATGAGGCCTGTGTGGATGTTTTTCATCGAATGATGCGATATAGATCAATCGATTGTGCAGTTTCTTCTTACAGTGATATTATATTACCAAGTACCTTGTATTGATAAAGGTGTTCATGATGAGGAAAGTCCAGTGTAGACATCTTGACAGTTACACATCCGCTTTTCATTCCGTTTGTGTAAAGATTTTCAACCACGAGACGACTGATGTGGTTCTTACCGGTTCCAGCTGGTCCGTGTAGGGATAGAACCAATGGCTTTGGTGGATTAGGATTGGTCACATGACCATCTATAGCACCAAGGACGGTCATGTAGGCCAAGGGCTGGCCAAACAAATGGTCCTCAAAAGCATCGGCAAGAGCTGAAAGAATAAGTTAATATAGACATGTGAATTACATGTACCGATACTACATTCATTCAAATATGGGATGATTCTTACCAAATTTGTTGTACCTACCTTTGCAAAATAAGGGATGCTAATATACAACAACAATTAACAACAATAACAATAATAATAATAATAATAATAATAATAATAATAATAATAATGATAATAATAATAATAATAATGATGCTAAAAATTATTATGATAATAATAATACTATACTACAACTATAACTACTACTACTACTACTAATACAACTAATTGTTAATGATGCTGACAATGCTATTGATGCTGATGATGCTGATGATGATGGTTCTGATGATGTTGTTGATGGTGATGATGCTGTTCGTGTTGATATTTACATCCGTGGTTAGCTAGCTATGTCACAGAAACCTTGGACAAGAGCTTACGGATATTTTCAATGTATTAAGCAATACATTTACCCATATTATGATTTTTTTTTAAAATCATTATTATTATTACTATTATTATTGTTATTATCTGTATTATCATTATTATTAGTAGTAGTAGTATCATTATAATGATATCGCTTTAAGAAGTCCTTAAAGGTGGTGTATCCCTTATGCAGCCAGCATCAGATTATGTAGAACTTTGCAGGAATTATCAATACGTCACGTCCTATCTGTAAAATTTAAACGTTAGCAGTGTCTTAGTTTTCAAATTATGCATGGCCGAAAACCTATTTACTTTCTAGACTTCACTGTCAGACACTATTGAGTGATTGACTGACTTCCTTTTTTTTCTTTGGTAATACATAAAATTCGCTGTAAAGAGTACATGAGCATGTGTCCACATCAATAACCCACTTCTTGTAATGGCCAAAATTAAGCTGATTGAATCTTTGCGCAGCACAAAACATACGACCATTCGGTACAAGGGTCTAAAAATCAGACTATTAAACGAGCGCGCTCGCTAGATTCGACTCGACAACTAACGGTTATTTTCCCACAAACAGACATTTTCAAGCCCTTTTGTTTTGACGGAAATTCTAAATTAGTATTATCTCTCAAATGCCATTGGAATTTTCATTTGTTGGCCTTCAAATGGGACATACTACCTTTAATTATTGTTATAATCTATAAATTCTTAAATTGAATACGATAAAAAGTCATTACCTATATTGACTTGGAATAAGTAAAAGTACATGTAGCGAAGTTTGACATAATTTACAACCAATAAAAAGTACATTGTTTTCAGAAGACAATAATCAACATTTAATTAATACAGTCACTCATTTAAATGCCATGTGACTTATGACTTTTTCATTGAATCAACTTTGACAACTTCAAATTAAGGGCTGTCATGAAAATGGCAAGGAAAAGTTCAGGAAATGCAAACGTTTATATACACTTAATGCAGGTTTGACTAATCAACTTATTGATTAATTCATTGATTAATTCATTATATCATACAATTTCTTTTTATCCACAGCAAATTAGTTTGTACAAATTATGTTCAATAAATATAAAACAAATTAAGGGATATTTTTTTTCTTTTTGTGACATTTTGTCATTGGTTTTGTTAGACTGCTAAAAACATTTTTGCAAAATGATAATAAAATATGTATACTGACCATCTAAATTAGGTTTATATTCATGCTGATAATTAGGTTTAGGAGGATCAGGAGGTGGTTGACGTTGTTGAGGTTGTTGAGGTTTATATTCAATTTGAGGATCATTGCGTGATCCACGCCAGCAGCATTCAATCGTCCCACAACACAGCATGAAGAAAACCCCATAGAGAGCCACTCCCCACATGATGACGAAATTGTCAGTCAAATCTGCAAAATTAGAGAAGACTACAACTTTACTAAAATTTGAGATTTTATGATATTGCATAAGTATGTAATAATTGGGGTTAAGACTTCATAGTACTGAGAAAAAAAATATGAAAAAACAAAAACAAAAAACAAACAAACATACATTTCGAAAGATGATCTTATACCTATACGACAGTTTCATTATTTTTAAGCAAAAAAAAATGTGTCCATGATAAACAACAAAATATAATATTCCAATATCATTGTTTGCAGCCAGAAGGGTGGTTACTCTTTTTAAAACTCTTGTGTTAATGCTCCAGACAATATTGCTGACATGTTAAAATGTAAGAACACTTTTTGGTTCCTTTGTTTGGTTGGGTTATTTTTTTAATTCATGAGTTGAAACATAAAATGCCAAAATTTCCTCAAGAGTAATATAATTTTGATTCATAATATTTCATCACATTCGATTTCAAAGTATAGTATTTTCATTTTTATCATCTTTATCATCATCATCATCATCACCGTTATAGTCATCTAGTAGGGAATGCACGCGTTGGCCTGTAATTCCCCCTTACTACGTCTGGCATTAATTGACAAAGATAATAAATGTATTCGTGTGCTTGCAGGAGGAGTCAGGGAAGGTCAAAATTAATGCTTATTCCACATGGGGGTGTTTCACAAAGATCATAAGTCGAACTTAACTCTAAGTTGGACTTAAATATTATGGAAAGCCATTTGTAGCCTTAAAATGAAATATATTCCAAAGCAAAAATTCAAGTATTTTAGGCTTTTCATTAATTCCACATCAAAAACATAAAATATCCTTGATAATAGAAAATATGAAAGATTTGAATTAACATTTTATGCCTTTTAAAGGTAAAGACCAGTATTGGAAACGCCCCAATTTCAAAAAATGAAATGGAAGCTCTCATTACCAATCATGTGAAAGAATATGTTTTGACTAATACATGATGATAAAAAATTTGCCGGGAAACCGCCTACTAATTCATATATTTGGTAAATTTGTTTCTCTCATGGTCTGTGAGAGATATAGGGTAGTCCCATATACATCTTTCTGTGTATAGCGCTTGTAACTTTACGAAGAATGGGCCAAATTTCTTATCATTTTGATGATTCCAGAACCTTGCAGATGCTAGATGCTAGATGCTAGATGATCAACCTTTTCTGATCGATTCCACAACGTTTCTTTCACAATGCAATCGCATGACCATAACTGGTCTTTACCTTTAAAGAAACTTTTACAACATATTTTCAAAGATGCTAACGGCTTTCCATAATTTTAATTTTTTTTAAAGTTCAACTTAAGGTCTTTGTGAAACTCCCCCCAGAACCTGTCTATAAACCTCTTGAAATTTTCATTTGTTTTTGCTTGCACTTTATCTTAAGGCGAGTTGCTCCAATCCTGGATGGTGTGAATACTGGAGAATTATTTCTTATGTAACGTCTATTGTGTTCTCTTAATATCTTCCAGATATATCTTTTTTGGATGTAAAATCAATTCCAATGAGAAATGTATCAAAAAGACTGTATATCCATACCAAACATTAAATGTGTAACATTAGAAAAACCAGAGAAATCATTTCACCAATTCATCATTCATGTTTTGTTATTTTTATAATCTTACTTACTTACAAGCTATTACTCTTTTAAAAAAACGTACAGGCTTGTGAACTGGGGCCCGTTTCTCGGACCGTCATAAGTCTAACTTCTTGACTGATGCCTAGGTTACATTTAACTCGGCTGATATACCCGACTCAGCCGACCGGTGAAAAAGAGAGAGAGGGGGAGGGGGGGGGGGGGTAAGAGCATTTTTTTTGTGTGTGTGTGCAATTAGTCAGAAAATATTAAGCAGCGATTCATCCAGCAGGTGAATGAGCGGGGGGGGGGGGGGTGATGGAGAGAAGAATCACTTGTTTTGTTTTGGGAGGGGGGTATAATTTTGTTGAGGGAGGGGGGCCCGCTTTTGTTTTTTGTTTGTGTGGATCCGCCACTGGTTCTCCCGAGGGCCCTGCAATCATATTACTACCCCTGCTTTAGTTAACCTACCATGATAATGTGCTCATAAGCATTTACGGAATTTCTTCCTACCGGGTACTCATTCGCTATACACCTGGGATAGGTGGAGAGTGACAAAGGTAGAATACTGTTATGTCAAATGAAATTAGTGCCGTGGTAGGACTCGAACCGTGAACCCGGTGATTTACAATCAAGCAATCTATCCACTAGAATAGACCACAACACCTCAACAACATTCAACTATAGTCACGCTGGTAGAAATTTTGAGACAATCTAATGTAAACAAGTCTTAATGCGTTCCACCACTTTATAAGTCCATGGCTAAAGGTAAACCGTGGAAAACAAAACACGAATATTTAAAATAATCTCATAAATGTATATTCAGCTCTTTGGCATTGGAAACAATAATCATTACAATATTTCTTGATTAATCTAAAACCAAGTATTAAAATATTGTGACATTCGAACGAAAATAAATATGATCCGTGATCTACCTTCAGATATGATGCAGATAAACATACCTTAGGCTTTGAACAGCTCTCATAATTTTTAGGCAACATTTTTTTATCAAAGCTGAAAAAGTATCAAAAGCAGTACCATGAACGCGTACTTTGCATACTTGAATATACTATTTAATATAAATAAAAAAAGGAAATTATGTAGATTCCTCTGGTTTGGCAGAATCACTAGCTGATATGTTAGCTATGTATACAATCACATAATAATCTGAAATATTTACCATGTGCATTCATATTTACATCACATATACGAATAATAAATCACGACAAATTATTTTTCACAGGACAAACGAACACTAAGAAGTTTCACATGTACTTGCTTTTTTCTTGGCCTCAACTCAATCGCTCTCCATTTATCATCTCAAAGACATGTAAACCAAGATCGAACTACTTCAGCCAAAGGAAAATTATGATTTTACGAACCAGATACATGCATAGCCTAAAAAGTGCCTGGGCGTCAGCCAAATTTATATACAACAATGTTACACGAAAATATTGCGAAATGTCACTGCATTTCTTTTTTAAAGATAAAGACCAGTTATGGTCATGCGATTGCATTGTGAAAGAAACGTCGTGGAATCGATCAGAAAAGGTTGATCATTTAGCATATGACTGCAGGGTTCTGGAATCATCAAAATGATAAGAAATTTGGCCCAGTCTTCGTAAAGTTACAAGCACTGTACACAGAAAGATGTATATGGGACTACGCACACGTGCGCAACACGTGTGTTTATCTCTCACACACCAATAGATAAACTAATTTACCAAATATATCAATTAGAAGGCGGTTTCCCGGCAAATTTGTTATCATCATGTATAAGTCGAAACATACCCTTTCACATGATTGGTAATACAAACTTTCACTTCTTTTTTTTTAATTGGGGCGTTTCCAATACTGTTCTTTACCTTTAAATAACAGACATTACTCACATCCGTTTCCCTCATTACATATCGATCAATGTAGGTGTTAAATCAATTCAGGAAACATGTATATGGTAGGCCTACAATGGAATGGTCCACTGATCATAAGTGGTACTATCAGGGGCGTACGCAGGATTTTTTCAAGTGGGGAGGGGGGTTTTAAACAAAACAAAGGGGGGTTTTAGGTTTTTTTTTCTTAAAATACACACATAAAAAATGCCAAAGGGGGGGGGGGGGTTTAACCCCCAAAACACCCCCCCCCCTGCGTACGCGCCTGGGTACTATTAACATGTATGTATTTAGGCTCTCAGTCTTTTTTAGTGACTGGGAATTCCCACTAACCTTTGACAGACAACCAGATTATGTTCGCCAAATAAAACATCGATCCAAATTGACCGAGAGTTTGTATGGAGCAAATGTATGCCTAGTCCACCCCTGGACTGTTCTGGTTAATTGAGTGCACACCCCATAGCATACACACATACATATCACCAGGCGCGTACGCAGGGGGGGGGTTGGGGGTTAACCCCCCTCCCCTTTTGATTTTTTTTTTTTTATAAAAAAAAAAAAAAAAAAAAATATTCCCACGGCCGACCTAAAAAAGGTGACCTTACCCCCCCCCCCCCCCCCAACTGAGCAAAATGTGAAATTTCCAAATTTCGAGACCAACAAAAAAAAGTGTCCGCGTACCCCCCCCCCCCCCCCCCCCCCCCTAAAATTTTTACCATGACATGTGGATTCATATCCACATAACATGAAATAATAATAGTTTATTACACAAATTTGTTATCCCAATGACGATAACATACCAAAATCGTCACATTCCCCCCAGGACAAACAAACACTGAGAAGTTATACGTATGAACGATATCAATATGTAAACAAGATTTCTAATGCGACGACGTTACTTTCGGGTTCACGATCACGTACATTAAAGTATTACGGTCGGGTTACAAAGATCTGTTTTGTATAGGGGGTGCAGCCTGACTTCATGCTTTACCAAACTGAATCTAAACATACACCATTCTCATATCGCTCTTAATTAGCTCAATCGCTCCCCATTAATCACATACACGACATATAGACCACTCAATTCAACAATGTGTAGCGAAAAGTTTGGTGATCTAAACCCAGTCTCAGCATTTCAGTCTGAGAAAAATTATGATTTTATAAACCAGGTAAAAACAAAGCCTGAAAAGTGTCTGGGAGTCCGCCTACTAGTATTTATACGTCAATGTGAAACAGAAATATTTAAAAAAGTGACCAAATTTCTTTTAAATATGACAAAGACATTTCAAATTACTCACCACTTTTTCCCTAACTACGTACCAGTCTAGGTGTTATCAGAAAGTTATCCAAATCAAGATAATAGATCCAGGCCTGGTGTTATATCATATCAGAAAATATGTATGCTATTTGCATTTACATTGGACTAGGGCACTGATCATGAGCAGTACTATATGCAAGTATGCATTTAGTTTGTCAATCTATTTTTTAGGCACTGGGAAATCCCAACAACCTTTGACATACAAGCAGATTGAGTTTTAATCGTCCGAAAAGTGATCGCCAAAAACAAACTCGATCTCGGAGGTGGCACTAAACATGCTAAACAGAAGTTGATCGATTTATTATAGTTTAAGGTTGTTAACGGGCTGTTTTGCCATAGTTTCATAGGCCTACGAAACATGGGGGTGAAAGTGCTGCACCCAACCCCCTCTCCCCCCCCCCCCCCGATTTTTAAAATTGCACAAAGATGTATTCAGGCACGGGTAACCGTTACTTGATTATGGCGGTTACGTAATATTCAAACAGCCTATTATCCTAATTATGATCCTGTTTTATTGGTATGTCGAGATATTTTGTTTGTTTCAATACTTCAAAACATGCCAGTTCCATTCAGAGTAACATTCCTTTTCTTCCATTGTTTTATAATGTTCATGTCAACAGAAATAAATACTCAAGTGCAAAAAAAAGTGAATACATAATGGCCAAAGCCATTTCGAGAGTATCATGTTAATTATTCTTTACACAGTAAAGAAGCCGTTCATCATAATAGCATAGCCTTGTGTCAGATATGCCCTTTTAACAAATACACATCATAGAACAATAGACGAAGAAAGAATAAAAATGAAATAAAAGGAAAACAAATTTAGAATAAGGAAGTTGGAATTACATAATAGCTAGCCTATAACTAAGATTCATATATCAATAAAATCGCAAGATTGGCACTAAAATATTTTGTGACTATTTTTTCTTGAATCTGTAAGTTGATATTCGAGCTAGATAGCCCCACCCCCTACCCGCCCGTCCGATGGTCCCGTATACCTATATTTGACATCGTTTTTCAACATGATAACGCACATTAACTGAAGAGCTACAAAGGAAACAGTGTTTATTTCAATAAGTTTTTTTATTACTACATTCAGTTGATGGATAACATCAATAATATTTTTATCAAGATATAACGAAATATCATATTTTGTACGCGTCATATTCTGCAGGGAAAAGACGTGAGGAAACTGATAAACACTTCTCTTTAAAACCGTCAGATGAATAAAAGCTACACTAATCATTATGCCTTTTCCTTTTCTGTTATCTCATATTTTTGTAGAATTCGAATCATGGCTGATGCACTAAAGAATGTAATTGCTCAGAGTCTGGAGTTTCCTGTATGTGTTTCCTGTATGTATCTAGCTTTAAAGTCTCTCATAGAGGATGTGAATAATCAACATCAGTTTTGCACGAATCGGGATTTCTCGATTAGTCTCTTTTTAGTCGCTCGGCGTCTATCAGACATGAGGACTTGTCTAAAGGCTAGCAGGGCACCGGACGAAAATTTCAAAAATATTTGTTTTTACTCGCCGTCCGGGTCCCGGATTGTATAAATAAAAGCCCAATCAAATAGTAGATTACATTATTTTAATTATTATGTATCTCAATCCTTTCTTTGGTTGAAAAGTAAGGCATTCAGAATAATGTTTTGTTGATTTTTTTCTCTTTGAAACACAAGTTAGACACAATAACTTTGAACTTTCGTTTCTGATATATTGTTTATGTCAAAGCTGACAATGTGAAATTAAAAAAATAATGTGAAGACAAAAACAATCAATAAATCTTCTGACACAACTAATTAGAAGATTTGTCAATTACATAGGTGGAATTAAAATTGACATTAACACAATATATACATTGAAGATAATGGTAAGTTCTGGTCGTCCGATTGCAATGTGAAAGAAAAGGTGTGGAATGGATCAGAAAAAGTTGATCATGTAGCATGTAAGTATCGGTGGGTACTGCAAAGTTCTGGAGTCATCAAAATAAAAATAACTTTGGCCCAGTCCTTGGTAAAGTAACAAGCACTGAACACAGACAGATGTATATGGGACTACACAAATGGTGTCAGGCTACCAACCTTGATTTCCTTATCTTTTTATGCTCATTGCTCAGCCAGTGTACATTTTCTACCAAAATTGTTTGGCAAATGACATTTATTTGTAATGTTGAACATTCAGTGTAATGTTCGTTTGATTCTGTGAGATTAAATGTTTTCTTCCCCAGAACTCACCTTTATTTTTGAAGAGTTAAGGTGCTCACATGATCTCGTGAACATTCAATAGCTACAATACTGCTTGATCCGCCGTTGTTGACTTACCAATCAACAAAAAAACATTAAGTAGTTTGGTATCTTCAGAGATTCGGACTATCAGACTTCAGACTATGAACCTTACTTCCATCACCTACGCCCCTCCATTGTATACTACATAGGTCTTACATGCTCATATTCGTAAACATTACGCCTCGAGCATGCAAGGAGGACATCATACCAGTTAAACCCGTTTCTAGTTGAGCTTGTGAACTTCTATACCGGATAAGGGTCGAACGATATGCTCCATGTTGAGCACGAGTTCTTTTCATCTTCATTTTAAGGATTAGTTACGACACTTTCCCTAGATTTCACTTATGGGGAAAACAGTAAACAAACTCTTGAACACTGAAACACCGCTGTTAGACCTATTCATCTGTGGTTCGGATAGAAAAGGTAAGCTAAAACTTGTTTTGAATGTTGAAATGTGGTGGTGTACTTGAAGTGCGTATCAGGACACTGAAATACCCCCAAGGCATCACTCCCCGGAACAAGCTGCAGTCAGAGTTTGTATAGAAGTGGTGGAGTTTCGGAGAATGACGCCAATTAAAAGATAAACGAGATGATTGAAATAAATTACAACAAATAATTCGAATAAACTGAAATTGAAAAAAGTACATCCCCAAATTGATTATGTTACATCTTATTTTCGAACGACAAAATGTGTTGACAAATTATCCACAGAACATCAATGCAAAATTAATTCCTAAGGTTCGGATCAAGTAGATGCCCCTATCAGTTTATCGAGTTTAACCTTTGCAGTAGATACAAACCTTAAGTTTTTTACATAGAAATGTGAGCTGTTGGTTGAAGTACTCTGGTCGAGTTTTTAGGTTGTTGGAATTTCCAAGTACCTAAAAATAGAATGACAAACGAAATATATACATGTATACAGTATAGCACCGGTTATGATCAGTGCACCAGTCCAACCTAAAGGCGAATAGCATACATGTATATCGGTTAAATATTACTTTATAGACTGATACGTAGTTACTGAAAAAGAGGTGAGTTTTAAATGTCTGTCATTTAAAAAAAAGAAATACAGCGACAATTGATAATATTTTCGTTTGAAATGGTTGTATATAACTTTATAAGACTGACGCCCAGACACTTTCGAGGCTTTATTTATATCTGGTTCATAAAATCATCATTTTCCTTCGGCTGAAATAGGAGAGGGGGGGGGGGGGGTCTCGGTCTAGGTGTCTTTCGGGTGATAATTGGAGAGCGATTGAGCTAAGGCCAAGATTAAACAAGTACATGTAAAACTGCTTACTGTTCGTTTGTCGTAGATTTTGGTATGTTGCAGTGATTTAAATTACAATTTTGTCATTAATTATTATTCTTACAGGTTATATAGATACAAATGCATTTAGTAAATATTTCAGGTTATAATGTGATTCTTAACATACATTGTAGCTAACATATATTTAAGCTAGTGATTTTGCCAAACCAGAGCACTCTCATTTCTACTCTACAAAAATGATGATTTTTTTTTAATAGGATAGTCCAACGTGCATAAGTATATGTTTATAGAGTACTGCTTCTGATACTTCATCAGAATTTTGCCTTATAATTTTTAGAGTTGTTCAAAGCCTAAACTCCAACCCTTGTAATAAGTTGATTTGTATAAAAGCAGAAAATAACAAAAACAGAAAGGCAACACTTTTAAATGAATCGGATCAATAATAAGGAAGTTGTAAATGTTTGAAATATGAGATCACTAAGTCTATGCGCATCTCAAATTCGTAATTCGGTTAGCGGATTACTTTCCCATTTGCCGTGTACAAAGATATCATTAATTTCTGTTTTTCGCGTAAATTCCTTCTCCCTTGGGTAATACTCAAAATATATTATAGAAACCATATTAATATAGGTCCTCTAAAAAGAATAGACCCTCCTTAGCAATGATTTTTTTTAAAATTTAAATTTTAGTCATGTTGGAACAAATGGGAAAGTAGTCCGGCACTAGATCACGTTGACATTACCGCTTTAGCCAATCTGAAGTGCCCATACGTAAATAATTACAACTTTCACTTTCGAGTCCCATCACGACTTTAATTTCAATTGGCAAGACAGTATCCTACATTGGTTACATTCCACCTATCCCAGGTGTAAAGTGAATGGGTACCCGGTAGGGAGAAATTCCGTGAATGCTTAAGAGCACATTATCATGGTAGGTTGGCTAAAGCAGGGAAAGATATATAATTACAGGGCCCTCGGGGAGAATACTATTAAGTGTACTGAAGAGGTTCTGGGTAAACATGCCATCATATCTATAATGATGATTATTGTTATCATAATGATGGTACTGACATAGAATGTTCTACAGGTGATGGAAACCTTGGGGTCACATTTGATAATAATCTATCTCTGAAGACTCATGTGAACAATGTATGCAGATCTGCCTCATTTGCGTTGCATAAAATCGGTAGCATCCGTCAGTTTCTTACTAAAAAGACCACCCAGAGACTTGTTCAGTCACTTGTCATGTCTCGTATTGACTTTTGCAACAGTCTTCTGTATGGTCTTCCTGATGCACAAATTAACAAATTGCAGAGAGTACAAAATTCAGTTGCTAGACTTATTGCAAAGCGTCGTTCACGTGAGTCCATCACTCCACTGTTTAGGGAGCTTCACATGCTAAGAGTCCGGGAACGAATTGATTTTAAGATCCTCTTGCTGACTTTCCAATGTTTGACAAAAACAGCTCCAGTCTACCTTCAAAGGCTGATATCAGAATACTTACCCTCCCGCAACCTGCGCTCAAACAAGAAATCACTCTTAATAGTTCCTGCCACCAATACCCAGTCTTA